TAGGGGACACATTTGGAGTGCCCAGCTCAAGTGATCAGAGAGACTGTGCCTCTGCACCTTATAGAACACTGGCTATATAAGGCCTCTCTATCAAGCACAGGAGACATAGAAGTTCTATCTAATACAAATAAACCAACACAGGGAGACTGGCACAAAGAGGAGACAAAGAAACATGTCCCAAAGGAAAGAACAGAATGAAACTCCAGGGAAAAAAACCTAAACAAAATGAAGATAACCAATCTACCAGATATAGAGTTTAAAACCCTGGTTATAAGGATGCTCAATAAACTTAGGAGAAGAGTAGATGTACTTAGTGAGGATTTCAACACCAAGATAAAATATATAAAAATGGAAGTAGAAAACAAAGTATAAAAGAACCAGTCAGAAATAAAGAATATACTAACTAAAATGAAGAATACGTTACAGGAAAACAACAGTTAAGCAGATGAAATCAGGAATTTGGAGGATCAGAAATTTTTTAGAAAATCAGAACAGCAAAAAGAATAGAAAAAAATGAGAATAGTATAAGGAGTCTCTGGGACAATTTCAAGTGTACCAACATTCTCATCACATGTGTGCCAGAAGAATAAGAGAGAAAGCAAGGAATTAAAAGCCTATGTGAAAAAATAATTACAGAAAACTTCCCCAACTTGATGAAAAATAGACATACAAGTTCAGTAAGTACAGAGAGTCCTAAACAAGATGAACCCAAAGAGGCCTACTCTAAGACACATCATAGTTGAATAGTCAAAGATTAAAGACAAAGAGAAACTCTTACAATAAAAGCAGCAAAGGAAAAACAGTTATCTACAAAGCAACTCCCATAAGACTGTCAGCTGATTTCTCATCAGAAACTTTGTAGTCCAGAGGAGACTGGCAAGAAATATTCAAAGTGATGGAAAGCAAGGAAATACAACAAATCACTCTAATCATCAAAGCTATCATTTAAAATTGAAGGGCAGATAAAGATTTTCCCAGATAAGAAAAGGCTAAAGGAGTTCACCACCACCAAACAAGTATTACAAGAAATGTTAAAGGGTCTTTTTTAAGGTGGGAAAGGGTTGCAGGATGGGTGAAAAAGGTGACGGGATTAAGAAGTACAAAGTGGTAGTTACAGAATAGTCATGGGGATGTAAAGTACAGCCCAGTCAATAATGTTGTAATAGCAGTGTATGGAGTCACAGAAGTACTAGATTTACCAAGGTGGTGAGTTATATAATGTCTAATCACTAGGTTGTACACCTGAAACTAATATATTATTGTATGTCAACTGTAGTTGAAAAACAAAAGGTGATTTAAAGTAAAAAATTATACTTTTGATACATTTTACATTTGATATATTAGGGAAAATTATCTACAAAAAAGATTTGATAATTTACAGTCTTAGTATAGTACTCATTTCCTTGATTCTTTGCCAATAGTAAATATTATTGGTCTTTCTAATCTTTGCCAAGTTGATGAATGAAAAAGGATGCCTAGGGTTTTTGATTAGCATTTTAAATCTAATTCTCAATGAGTCCAAGTATCCTGTCACATGATTAGCAGCTCTTTGTGTGGCACTTCTCCTTGAATGCATAAAAATGATAATATATGTAAACATAACATGGCATTAAAGCTATACGTGATAATGTATGTGCATCTATAGATAGAAATGAATAAAAACACATTGAGAAATGCAGTGCTAAGAGTAGTTATCTGGGCAGTGCAGTGATTGTGGGTTGACAATAGTCATAAGGGAATTTCATGTGTTACTTGGACTTTTTTACAATGAGAATAATATATTCCAACTTTTTAAAATAATAAAGTGACTTAAATAGATATCATAAAAATGAATAAAACTATATATGACTGGCTATAGCTTTTTTTCCTATTTGCTTGCTTCTCATCCTGCTACTTCCAGTAAATAACCCTGCTTCTCTGTTGCATCAACTTCAATAGTTTCTCTACCCCCTTGAAGGAGTTCCTTCAATAGTTCCTGAAGATCTGGTCTTAGACACTCTGCTCTCTCCTCCTCCTCCAGCTATCTCTTTTGCACCCCGGGTGTCCACCCTCAGAGATCTATGGATCTCATAACAACATCTCTCTGCCTGCCTAACCCTTCAACTTGGCTTTAAACAAATAATGGCATTGAACTTAATCTAAACATGTGCAGTCACAGCAACAGAAAGAACATCTGGGAACTTCTGAGAAGAGAAAATCAGAACATAGTGAGTTGCTAATCCAGCCTGGGTAGTGAGACAAGGTTTTCCTGAGAGAATGGTATTTAAATATGAAGGGTGATTGGTGTTAGCTGGGAAATACCATGAAAGCATTCAAATAACTAAAATATGAGCAGCATGACTAAAACAATTTGGGTGCTGTTAGACTAGCTTGAAGGAAAGTATTTTCTGTTATCTCTGAGGCCAAGAATCAGCTTGGCCACCAGGCTCCAAGACATGAGAAGTCTGATATGTTTCCAGGGGGATGGTGGGGCTGAGAGTAGCCCCTTGGCCATATAAATGTGGCCAGAAGTAAGGAAGTGGAAAAAGTTAGCAGGATTCCATGAGAAGGGTCCAGAGCAGCCTTGTCCAAAAGAGCTTTCTGCAGTAATGGGAACGTTCTATAATCTGCCCTGTCCACTATGGTAGCTACTAGCCACATGTGGCTATGGGGTACTCTAAATGTGGATGGTGCTTTTGAGGAACTGAATGTTTTCTTTTATTGAACCCTTATTTTATTTCAATTTAATTTAAATAGCCACATATGGTTTGTGGCCACCACATTGGGCAATGCTGATCTACACAGCAAAACCAATGTGAAACCTGGCTTCCAACGTGTTGAGAATTAAGGAAGAACTCATGCACACATGGAAAGCCAAGGAGTAGAGGAAAACAGCGTACTGGTGATCCTTAGTAGGGAATGGTGTTACCAAGAGAGTCAAGAGTTAATGGAAGTCGTATCAGAAAATAGTGGTAAGACATGATAAAGAAAGAAAAGACCCCAGGAGCTTGGGCCTAAGCAAGTGTGGCTCAGAGTCTTGGGAAATAATTAGAAATCATGAAGAGACAATTCAGAGGTTTCTTATTTTTAGTACTAGAGTTGGTGGGGTCTTGTGTCATCATTTAGTATGCTATACTTGATGATATGTGAGAAATGTGAAATCAAAACAGTACAAGTTACAGTTCTTTGGGGGTTTTGTTGTTGTTTTTTGTTTTTTATTTCTCACGAAAGTTGAAAAAGTAGGCTTTGGTTTACTAGGCATCTTTTTTTTTCTTCTCTCTCCTTTATAACAAGTTTCCTAGTGGCCTTCTCTGCTCCAGATCTGGCTGAAGCTCAAGGTTAAAACATTTGTTTACCAAAAGCACTCTCTCAGCCTCTCTGATCCAAATTAATTTTTATAAGCACCTGTTCCAAAAGCACACAGAGAAATTGGAAAAGGCATGAAGCTGTTAGAACTTGTCAAAGACTTCAACACAAAGGCCAAACGTGGAAGCAAACCAATTTTTCATATGCATTGACACACAACTTCACTTACTGTGCTTTGGTGATGACATCATTTCCTCACCTCACCCATAAATTCTAGCAAGTCAGACAAAATCACCAAAAAGTCCTCTGTCATTTCCAATTGTGCCAGCTTCAGTGGTATTGGATTTATCTTCACAGTATTACCTGATGTTGAGGAGGGGGACCTGCAGAGCCCCACTGATTTTCTGCTGCCATCAAAAAGGGGCTTTTTCATTCCACTAAGGGAGTTGGGGCAAGATGTGTTCTGACCTGCTGCCTCTGTTCAGTAGGTGATGAACTGACTGAGGTTGTTGAATGTACTCTGCAGTATATAACAGTCATAAATTAAACATCCCTGTTTACCTTCTCACAAGTCTTCATTGAGATGCCTTTAGAAAGAAAAATAGAATTTCAAAAGCAATGGGTTATTTTTATCTGTTCCTTTTATTCTTCCATTCTTTCTCTGCATTGATTTTATTGTAGGAACTGTTGATTATTCACTAATTACACATTCGTTCCAAGTTACGAAGATACAGTGCTGTGCTATTAACTTAGCATGCTTGTTTTACTCATGAAATCCTCGTCTTATTCTTTAGAGCAACATCCCAGGTATAGAATGTCTTGCAGCCAATGGGAGCTCTGCCATATCAACGGGCTGGCAATTGGACAATCTACCCCCTGAGTCCTGGCTCTGTCTGCCCCATTGTAATTCAATTAAATATTTTTTAGCTTAATTCTTCTTATGCATAAATGGGAAATAAAAAGGTGTGTCCTGCCTACATTCCAGGTTTGTGAAAGGATCAAATAACAAAATAGTCACAGAATTGGTTGGTAAAATTGTACCATACTTGGAAGATATTAAATCTGTATTATTTTACCTCCACTAATTTCCAGAAAGATTTTTAGTTCAATTACAACAGAAAGTTCATAGGCATTTGGGCCATTAAAGCAAAGCTAAAAGAATAAGAGTCATATATGATAATAGCAGATAATTGTTCCAGAAAAATCTATGTTAAGAATATTTCTATCAGTTGAACACTAAATTTAGCTTTCAACTTCTTGGCAGCTGAAGCAGAACACAAAACACCATTAGGCACATGACTCTCCCTAATTTACAGAATGAAGCATGTTGTTTTATTAGGAGAGAAGAAAATTCCCCTGCCATTAAACTCTAAGAATTGTGGGTGAAATCATTTTCTGGGCACACACCTGTCTACGTGTTGCAGTTGGAATGCCAGCCTGGCCCACAAAACCTTCCCCCGGTGCCCCTTCGGGCTTTTCTGCCCATACTCACTTGAGACATGGCAAGTGTGGGAGGTAGAAGTTAGAACAAGTTGAGGCACCTGAATCCCTACTTGGAGCTGCCCACCAATTAGAAATATCCACTTTCTACTTCATATGAGTGAGTAAAATAATCCAGCCTAATGTTGGAGCTATTTTACAGTTTTCATACTCTATAAAAATTAAGGTTTTCTAATTCGGAAAGTTGTTGGATAACATAATATACAGAATTTGGGGGGAGGGGGGATTGCTTCACGATTTTGCACATGATCCTTGCACACGTCCATGCTAACTTTCTCTGTATTGTTCCAGTTTTAGTAAATGTGCTGCCAAAAGGTGCACCAGGATTTTTAACTATGATTTTTATCTAATCTTTTTTAATCCTTATGGACTGTCTCATCTTTTGTAATAGGGGAGCAACATCTAACGGCTCTAGAGAAAGGGAATGAAACAAGGACAGGTGGTTTTATTTCTGTGTTTGAGCTGGTGACTCCTGAAACAGACAGGAAAGAAAAGCAAGAGGAGAACTGTTGCAGAACAAGAGACACATCCAGGAGGTCCTGTCTATTCGGGTAAGTTGATGGCGAATGTACAATGGGTGATGAAAAAACAGAAAGAGTACTTACTGTTCCTTAATACATTGAAAGGAGTCCTAAGAGTGTAGCAAGAAAGACAAATAATGGAAGGGTAGAAAAGGTCTAAATCTGATTTTCCTGATCGCCTTAGAGCCTACTCTGCCCTGCAGGGCATCAGAACCCTCAGCTTTGACTGGTTGGAGCTAAGAAGCATTGTCGATCAGCCTGGGTGTAAGATCTGTCTGCAGTGTTCTTGGGAATTTTATAAAGACAGTCAAGCACCATACATTCTGTGGATTTATTCATTTTATTATACCTCAAGCACAATTCTCAGATCTGCACAACTGCCTCCTGAACTTCTCTGGTCTTGTTAAGTCAAGTGTGTTTTGTTTAGATTCCATTCACCATCCCTCCCCACCCCCAGAGAATTAGTTCTCAGAACACTTCCTGAACATCTCTGGGGACTTCCTGCTTGGCCTTTACTATGCCTTTCTCACCCCGAACTGTGTTTGGCCCTTTCTCCCTTGCATATAGTCATCCCACTTTTTACACACAGTTTAGGAGATTTCATATCTAGCTATTTAAATCTCAAGATTTAGCAGGACTTGAGCAAATGACAGCACCGAGTAGATAGGACAGGGCCAGCCCTTGGCTCTGGACCCATCACCTGGGCCAGAACAGATGCTCCAGGAGGTGATATAGACACAGTTGTTGACAGAGGCAGGCCAAGACCCAATCCAGTGAGTCCAGCAGTGCGAGCAATCTACAGTCCCAGGTCAATAGGCAGCAGGGCATGCCGGAGCAAAGAACAGAATGTCCTCCCAGGTGAGGCCAATAGTGAGGAATTATGAAAAAGAAATACTCAAAACACCTCCACAGCCAGCCACTTTAGGAAGAAACTCAATCCATGTATGTCAGGCCTCAGTGAAACTTCTCCAACATTCCATTTCCTTGACCCATAATTTCTACTTCTCAGCAGGCCTATAAAACCAGCAAACCATAGCCATCCTTCTTTACACAATAGCTGGATTTTGAAGTACCTAAGAACATGTGAAATACGGTTGACATCAAAATAATATGAATATCCAGAGACTATGTCATTTCTCTAAGCATTAGCAGTGCTACAAGAAAGTTTGAGTAACAGCCATTTTTACAATTCTGTGAAGAATACAATTTCCCTCTCTTCAAGCTGACATACGGCTTTTTGGACACCATCACTTGAAAGAAAATGAGATTCACAAGTGATTTTTGTAGTACTTCTACCCAAGTATCTTTTTTGTTCTAAAGAGGAGGATCCAAGGATCAATTAAAATTTTTTTAATGTTAATAAAGTAGGAGATAGAAAATGATGTTCTTGTTCTCTTCCATGTGAATTTGTGTCTTTACAAATCTTATTACCCCCACTTCCTACCACAGCTAAAGGGAATGTAGAATCACAGTTGTGTCGTGGAAGTCTACCTGCCTTTAGGAAACACACGCATTAAATCAAGGCCATAGAGACTGTGTGGTTCAACCTCTACTCGGGGAACATGTAATACCTCTTAATGAGCACGTGCTCTTTCAAGCCCTGTCCAGACGATGTCTCACCTAATCCTCACAACGACCCTGTTATCTCCATGTTAGAAATAAAGAAAACTGAGCCCCAAAGAGATGAAGTGATTTGCAGACACATTATAAGTGACAAAACTGGAATACAAACACTAAGTGATCGTGACTCATTTGTACCATCACACAAAAAACACAAGCATTACTGACTTTGTTCCTAAGTGATACTGCTAAGGCTGATAAGGTATGTGATATATCATTTGGAAATACGTGTGAAACATTTGCTACACAATTGAAAGATCCAATTTCCCATTTTTTAAACTAAGCATCACCCTTGCTATTAAAGGAGATGGACTTGACCTAATGTCTGTCAACTTCAGACCCAAACAAGGAAACGTCATATGAAAAATAAAATGAGAGATAAAGAATCTAGTGTCAGAATTCTGGCATTTCTAAGATCGTGTCTTCAGTGACTGGGCTACAAATCACTGCCTTTACAGAGCTGGGTTGCGAGACAGGGCCAAGGGCAATTTCTCCTCGTACAGTTGCATCGCTACCTGTAGCCTGTGACTTAGTGCTCATGAAAGACGGACGAGACTCCACTGAGACTGCCTTGTGTATCATTCTTCTCTAGGTGTTCATGCTGTGTTTGGAAATCGTGTTGGCTCAAGGGCTGGCATTTTGTACTGCTTGTCCATTGGCCATTGAATGATTCCACTCTCTGTGTGTTGAATCTACTAAAAATGGCCAGACTTCATTTTTTTTTTCTTGAAAACACCTGCAAAGTTCAATTTCTCTTTAAAAACTGTCATTAGATTCTCCGTGTTCATGCAGGTTCTGGACTGCAATTTCTTTTCCTACCATTAACATGTGCTTTTCCAACTGGTAATTTCAAAATAAGTGGTCTGGCCTTTCAGATGTTTAAAGTTAAAAAAGAAAAAGAATCTTGAGACTGATTTGACCAGTTTTATGTGGGTTTACTCCAGATAATAAGTAATTTAAAAAGAACACCCACTCCCAACATTCTGAAGCAGCTTCATTCTCCAACATAATGACGGTATCATGCTGACTCTCCTGATAGCCCCAAGCATTCAAATTCTGTGTTCTTAGCACCAGAACAAAACTGCCACATTTCTGTTCATTCCAGAATCAAAATTGTTATAATCTGATGTTATGTTTTTATGAATGCCCTGTCAAAATGTTTGTTCTGTCTATCAAAATATGTGAAATTCATTTGGGTCATCGAACATGAACAGCCCTGAAATCTTCCAGACAAATGGGGCTGGATGAATAGCAAATACGTGAAGATGAGAATGAGGAACATGTAGGGCAAAGCATGCCTTTGCTACTAAGTACGGTAGATTCTATTATAAAGAAATGACTGATAGCACTGGGACATTAATTTATCTACACAGGTAAAATCTAACTTATACAACACACAGTATAGCAATTTTTCAGTGGTTAACAGTTTGGTGGTTTTTTTGGATAGCTAAATATTAAAATTTATTCCAAATATAGGATAGTATAATTGTTCGATTTCATCATACTGTGTTCATTTCAAGGTGATATTTCAAAATATTATATGTCTGTTTCCAATTAATATGGACATTTCCAAGTACCCGAGAGGGCTTGCAGAAGCTCTGAGATCATATTTTAGTAAACGTCACAAAGTAGAAAGAATTGGGTCTCATGCCTACCTAAATTCCGCAGCCCAGGAAAGCACTTCTTCCTATCTGCATGAGAAACTAAAATTCATGTTAATGCATGCTCTTTATGGGGCATAGCTGCAGAACTCCAAACTAATTAACTGAGAGAGACAGAAAATTATTCACTTATAATTAAAATTCCTAAGGTTTGGTTTATATGTAGAACCAAAATGAAAACTTTAAATTGTGTTTTCATTGGCATTCCTCCAACATTTAGAAAAAGAGTGGGACCCTTGTCCTTCGCACAGGATCTCCAGACCACAAAGCGTCAAAATCAGCTTCAGAAAGGAGCTGTGTCGTTTGGGTAAGGCCGAGAGAACTTTTGCAAACTGGAGGTGCATACTGGCACTCCCAGAGGTCTGCTTCCCTGTTACACACGAGAACATTTATTACTGTGTGTCACCTCAGAGATCGGGCTTTCTCCACTCATAAGCATAACTTTGGCTTTCTAAAAACATGTTGATGTCTATGAAGAATTTTTTCCAAGAATTAATTTTCCTTCCTCTGTGGTAATGGTGTTCAAGAGCAGCGTTTGCATACTAAGTAATATCATTTGGATGGAAGAATAGAGAGATAAAGCTACTCTGATGTTAAATCCTAGCCTGACCAATTATTTGCAATTTCTTGTTTTGTTTTGTTGTTTGTTTTGTTTTTAAGAAGGGTACCTGCCCTCACTGGTGTGGCTCAGTGGATTGAGCTGTCAGCCTGAGCATTGAAAGGTCACCCATTTGATTTCCAGAAAGGGTACATGCCTGGGTTGTGGGCCAAGTACCCAGTTGGGGGTGTAAGGCAACTGAGCAATATTTCTATTCTTCTCTTTCTCCCTCCCTTCCCCTCTCTCTAAAAATAAATAAAATCTTTTAAAAAATGAGTAATACTTTTATCTTTTATTAATTTATTTTTTATTTAAGTATAGTAGGTATATAATCTTTTATTGGTATACTAGTTTTAGGTGTACAATATAGGGATTTGACATTTCTATACCTTATAATGTGATTGCCACACTAAGTCTGGTAATCATCTGTCACCATTAAACTTATTTTTAACCATTCAATATATAAGCAATTTTAACAGGAAAATCTGTTTCATGCTAGTTTCCTTTGTTAGCAACTCAAAGCCTCCAGTAAATAAAATTAATGCTTACCTCAAAAGCCCTCTGTATTTTGACAAAGTCACCCATACTGAGTTGGTTTTCAAGCAGAACTATGCTGTGGTCTTCACCTTCGGTTCTCTCTGGCCTGGGCTGTGACCCCTCGTCCAGCTCAAGTGCAGCGCTCTGGCAGCTCATAATGGCTCCACGTCTTTTCAACAGCCTTCAACAATGTCTACACTTACTTTGCTTCCTTCAACAGGTGTCTCTGAAAAGAAACCCAACTTAGCAATAGAATTCCAAACAAAAGTACATTTCGAGGCTTACAATAAGGAGGCACAATGTTCAAGCTGAGAGAGAGAGAATGAAAGCCCTCAGCCCCCACACTTCCTTCACTCCATGATTTTTTTTTTCAAAGTCTACAGT